AAATACTCCACTTTACTACTTTAATACACTTAAGTGAATTTGTCCCAATACCTTTGGCCCCCTAAAATGGCGGGACTATGTACAAAAAGTGCTGTAATCTCTAAACGGTTAACCCGATATGGATGAAAATACCCTCAAATTGAAGCTGACAGTCTACACTTTTACCTCATAGTCATCCAAAGGGCTGGAGTACAGAGCCAAAACAACAACACATAATGTCATTGTCCCAATACCTTTGGAGCTGACTGTATAGGCAGGGACCTGGACAGGTTGAGAGGGAGGGACGTAGAGAAGAAGAGGCATGATGGAGGAGAGAGGGGAGGAGTGATGGAGAAACGGAGAGAGTAAAGAGGGAAGACAACGCTATAATCCAAAGGAGTATAGAGCCAAAACAACAAACAATGTGTCACTGTCCCAATACTTTTGGAGCTCACTGTGTCTCTCCCACCTCTGCCCCTATCGAGGATGGAGCTGCCCCTATCCAGGAAGGCGCCGCACAGCGCCCAGACCACCATGATGACCACCAGAGAACCAGACAGACAGGCCGAAACGGAGACCAGGGTGCTGGTGAAGGGGCTCCGGGTGGGGGTAGGGGGAGAGCCCTGGCCAGGGAGGGGTGGAGGAGAAGGAGGAGGGCCCCTGGAGATGGTTGAGAAGGGACCATCGGAGGCTGAGCGGGACATGGGTAGAGGAGGAAGGTCCTGGGTAGTAGCAGGAGGGCCCCTGGAGGTGGTTGAGAGGGACATGGGTAGAGGAGGAAGGTCCTGGGTAGTAGCAGGAGGGCCCCTGGAGATGGTTGAGAAGGGACCATCGGAGGCTGAGAGGGACATGGGTAGAGGAGGAAGGTCCTGGGTAGTAGCAGGAGGGCCCCTGGAGATGGTTGAGAGGGACAGAGGTAGAGGAGGAAGTTCCTGGGTAGTAGCAGGAGGGCCCCTGGAGATGGTTGAGAAGGGACCATCGGGGGCTGAGAGGGACAGAGGTAGAGGAGGGTGGTCGTGGACGGTGGGAGAGAGATGCTGTAACACAGCCCAGTGGGTCAGACAGGAGTATAGGAGCACCAGACCCTGGTGACGCACATGGATAGACAGACAGACACAGACAGACAGACAGACAGACAGACAAATGAGAAACATAGAGAGAGGAAAAGATGAACAGGGATCAAGAGAAACAGGCGGAGTGGGGTGAAAAGGGGGAAGAGAATAGAGAGAAAAGGAAAGAAAAGCCATAGCCAATCCTCACCCACTTCCCTTCCTCCCTTTCTCCCGTCCTCCCTTTCTCCCTCTCTCCTGATCACTGATTAGTGCTGCTATGGTTACAAGACAGAATAAGTGAGGGGTTTGGTTGGTATGCAACAATAGTCAGCCAGACGTCCCAAATGGCACCCTATTCCCTATCTAGTGCACTACTTTAGACCAGAGCCCTATTCCCTATATAGTGCACTACTTTAGACCAGAGCCCTATTCCCTATGTAGTGCACTACTTTAGACCAGAGCCCTATTCCCTATGTAGTGCACTACTTTAGACCAGAGCCCTATTCCCTATATAGTGCACTACTTTAGACCAGAGCCCTATTCCCTATATAGTGCACTACTTTAGACCAGAGCCCTATTCCCTATGTAGTGCACTACTTTAGACCAGAGCCCTATTCCCTATATAGTGCACTACTTTAGACCAGAGCCCTATTCCCTATATAGTGCACTACTTTAGACCAGAACCCCTATTCCCTATCTAGTGCACTTTATTTATTTTTTAACCAGCGCCCAGGTCAAAGGTAATGCAGTATGTATGTAGGGCATAGTGTGCCATTTGGGGCGTAGACATGTAGTAGTGAATACTGAATAGTAGTCAGTAGGCTTGTGTGTTGTCATGAGAACTAAAGCTTTAGAGACCTAAATCTGCTCTACAAGCAGCTATTATTTGCTTGAAGCAAAGGCAATGGAGCCATGCTCGAAATTTCCATTAGACTTGAGTTTACCAGACATATCTTATGCACATTGTATGCCACTTTAATTAATTTGGTTGTAACTATTTCATTCAAATGTATTTTATTTTTTTATCTGAGGAGAAAGTATTATGCTATGAATGTCAATGTTTTTTTCTAGAAATAAATTGCCTACACTGAAACTGACTAATGTTAGCCCTGTGCCATGTACCAATGTAGTACAAATCATAATCAATGAAAAATGTTAAATCAAATCCCGTCTACGATAATATTCTGTTGAACCAGCTGCACTGATCTCTACTGGCTGGGTCCAGTACTACCACGAAACCTCACCAGACAGTCAGTGCTATACAGGGTTGTGTTCATTAGGCACCAAATGGAAGAACATTTAGAAAAACAGGGAGGAACTACTTGGATTTGACCAATAAGAAATGGCAATTTTTGTTTTGTTTTACAAATATTTTGCTACAGTGTGCACTAATGAACACAACCCTGCTTCGGTTATTTCCTCCACACAAACAGTAAACTGATTACTATCATCACCAAAACATCAGTGCCCTGATTACATGTTCAACATGAACTACTCAGTACCCCGGTCAACACAGGCACTCCTCCCTGATGACATGTTCAACATCAACTACTCAGTACCCCGGTCAACACAGGCACTCCTCCCTGATTACATGTTCAACATCAACTACTCAGTACCCCGGTCAACACAGGCACTCCTCCCTGATTACATGTTCAACATCAACTACTCAGTACCCCGGTCAACACAGGCACTCCTCCCTGATTACATGTTCAACATGAACTACTCAGTACCCCGGTCAACACAGGCCTTGGAGATATAGTATCACTTCATCACTCCCAAATGTATTTATTTTTTATTTTATTTTATTTAGTAATTTAGCAGACGCTCTTATCCAGAGCGACTTACAGTTAGTGAGTGCATACATTTTTTATTTTTTTTTCATACCCATACAAGATAGTACTGTTACGTGTTTTCCCTCATCAATCTAAGTATTCAGACCCTTTGCTATGAGACTCGAAATTGAGCTCAGGTGCATCCTGTTTCCATTGATCATCCTTGAGATGTTTCTACAACTTGGAGTCCACCTATGGTAATTTCAATTGATTGGACATGATTTGGAAAGGCACACACCTGTCTATATAAGGTCCAACAGTTTACAGTGCATATCAGAGCAAAAACCAAGCCATGAGGTCGAAGGAAATGTCCGTAGAGCGCCGAGACAGGATTGTGTCGAGGCACAGATCTGGGGAAGGGTACCAAAAAATGTCTGCAGCATTGAAGGTCCCCAAGAACACAGTGGCCTCAATCATTCTTAAATGGCGCAATTCCTACGTTGAAGCATGGTGGTGGCAGCATCATGCTGTGGGGATGCTTTTCAGCGGCAGGGACAGGGAGACTAGTCAGGCTCGAGGGAAAGATGAACAGAGAGATCCTTGATGAAAACCTGCTCCAAAGTGCTCAGGACCTCAGACTGGGCTGAAGGTTCACCTTCCAACAGTACAACGACCCTAAGCACACAGCCAAGACAACGCAGGAGTGGCTTTGGGACAAGTCTCTGAATGTCCTTGAGTGGCTCAGCCAGAGACCGGACTTGAAGCCGACCTAACATCTCTGGAGAGACCTGAAAATAGCTGTGCAACGACGCTCCCCATCCAACCTGACAGAGCTTGAGAGCCTGTTTTTGCTTTGTCATTATGGGGTATTGTGTGTAGATTGACGAGGGGGGAATAAAACAATGTAATCAATTTTAGAGTAAAGCTGTAGCGTAACAAAATGTGGAAAAAGCCAAGGGGTCTGAATACATTCCGAATGAACTGTACATGTATGTGGGAGTGGTTGACAGAATTATGACCATTACTCATTAATGTACAGAAGAGGGTATAGACGTACACTGAATGGACAAAACATTAGGAACACTTTCCTGATAATGCATTGTCTTGCCCTTTCTCAATCTGAATGGCACACATACACAATCCATGTCCCAATTGTCTCAAGGTTTAAAATCCTTCTTTAACCTGTCTCCTCCCCTTCATCTACACTGATTGAAGTGGATTTAACAAGTGACGTCAATAAGTGACATCAATCAAGTGACATCAATAAGTGACATCAATCAAGTGACATCAATAAGGGATCATAGCTTTCACCTGGATTCACCTAGTCAGTCTATGTCATGGAAAGAGCATGTTCTTAATGTTTTGTACACTCAGTGTATATCAACGTGTATCATTAACCAGTCAGACAGAAAGCACAACAGACCGCTCACGATGGACTGTATCATTAACCAGTCAGACAGAAAGCACAACAGACCGCTCACGATGGACTGTATCATTAACCAGTCAGACAGAAAGCACAACAGACCGCTCACGATGGACTGTATCATTAACCAGTCAGACAGAAAGAACAACACAGAGCTTCCAAGGCTTTTGTCTTGCTGTTTGTTTGTCTTGGAGTGGTGGTCCATGATGATGCGTACCGCACGTCCCGTCCATCTGGCTCTGTCCCCTATTTATGACACGTACTGTACACGACAGGCTTAGTATCCCGGCAACACCTCGACAAGCCAAAGGGGGGTCACACCATAGAAATATAATCCATAGAAAGGGCTAGGAACCTCCATCCCATTATGCCACCATTGACTTGAATGGGGAGGTCCCATTCTAAAGATTATATTTCTAAATGGATCACACAGCCTTGGATTGAACACATGGCATTTGAGCAGCGTGTTATGCCATAGGTTATTGCTCTCACTGAGCAACCTAAGCATTACTGAGCAACCTTACCATGCTTAATGTCCAAGGACTACAGTCACACGTACAAAAATCTAGATTTATTTTTCTTTAAAATAGTCTGACAACCAACATTCAACATGGAGGTTCAGTAACAAACAAACGATACACTTGAAATAAATCATATATCCTTTGTTTATCTGTTGGATTCTCTTCAGATTTCTGTTTAAAATATTTACAATGGAGCATGAAGTAAAAGGGTTTCTCTCTCGGTTTCCCCCCAGTTAAATGGAGGCTGATTTCATACGCTGTTTAGAACACTGCAGTCACATAAGAACAGCAACAAACCAACAATGACTTTGTTTGCCGATGCCTGATGGGGCATTTCCCTACTTGGGTACACAGTTACTATGAGATGGCCTACATGGAAGCAATACAGGTTTAGAATTATCTAGTGCCAAATTATTTATGATCTAGCAACAAATGATCTGTCTTGATGTGTTAATAAAACCGTCCATCTGATCTGAGGGATTTTAACGTGACGTCTTTGAAGGGAATTGCTTTTTCAGAAAGAGTTCCCGGAGGCAATCTTTTAAAAAGGTTACTTCCTCTACCAGTGTGAACGGCTTTGGGCTTCACCTGTACTACACTGCAAACAGCACCTGCAGAAAGTATTCACACCTCTTGACTTTTTCCACATTTTGTTGTGTTACAGCCTGAAATAAAAAATAGATTAAATTAAAAGATTTATTTTGACTCACTGTGTGCAATAATATTGTTTAACATTATTTTTAAATGACTACTTCATCTCTGTACCCCACACATACAATTATCTGTCAGGTCCCTCAGTCGAGCAGTGAATTTCAAACACAGATTCAACCACAAAGACGAGGGAGGTTTTTCAATGCCTCACAAACGGCACCTATTGGTAGATGTGTAAAAATAAAAAACCTCAGACATTGAATATCCCTTTGAGCATGGTGAAGTTATTAATTACACTTTGGATGGTGTATCAATACACCCAGTCACTACAAAGATACAGGTGTCCTTCCTTACTCAGTTGCTGGAGAGGAAGGAAACTGGTCAGGGATTTCACCATGAGGCCAATGGGGACTTTAAAACAGTTACAGAGTTTAATGGCTGTGATAGGAGAAAACTGAGGATGGATCAACAACATTGTAGTTACTCCACAATGCTAACCTAATTGACAGAGTGAAAATAACTTTTTGTCCTGAATACAAAGTGTTATGTTTGGGGCAAATCCAACACAACACATTACTGAGTACCACTCTCCATATTTTCAAGCATAGTGGTGGCTGCATCATGTTATGGGTATGTTTGTAATCGTTAAGGATTGGGGAGTTTCTCAGGATTAAAAAAAGAAACAGAATCGAGCTAAGCACAGGCAAAATCCTAGAGGAAAACCTGGTTCAGACACTGGGAGATGAATTCACCTTTCAGCAGGACAATAACCTAAAACACAAGGCCAAATCTACACTGGAGTTGCTTACCAAGAAGACCGTGGATGTTCCCGAGTGGCCGAGTTACAGTTTTGACTTAAATCTACTTGAAACTCTATGGCAAGACTTGGAAATGGTTGTCTAGCAATGATCAACAACCAATTTGACAGAGCTTGAAGAATTTCTGAAAATAATAAAATTGGCAAATGTTGCACAATCCAGGTGTGGAAAGTTCTTAGAAATTTACCCAGAAAGACTCACAGCTGTAAGCGCTGCTGCCAAAGGTGCTTCTACAAAGTATTGACTCAGGGGTGTGTAAATGTCATATTTTTGTATTTCATTTTCAATAAATGTGTAACGAAAATCTAAAAACGTGTTTTCACTTTGTGATTGTGGGATATTGTGTGTACATGGATGAGAAAATATTATTTAATCCATTTTGAAGTCAATTGTTGTAACAACAAAATGTGGAATAAGTCAAGGGTTATGAATACTTTCTGAAGGCGCTGCAAGTAACTCAAAGTGCTTTAACTAGTGCTCCGTCCTGTTTATCCTTCCTGTCAGCGCTGTCCGTATTGTGCTCATTGGACCATGGGGGACCATTCGGCTACTTAGCTGCTCTGCTACGAGTGAAAAAGAGGATGTTTAATGATTACAAACAATGAGATCTGCATAGTTTCACGCCGCCGCCTCGGGTCGCACCCTCTAAGTCATGGAGGAAAAAAAACAGGCCCCTGTCTCGTCACCCCCGTTTATCGCTCGGGTTTCATCCAAACCCCATGGCTTTTCTCTGCTTTTACTTCCCTAAGCCCCTTCACACCCAAAGAAGAACATAACTTGGGTCATGTTCATTAGGCATCAAATTAAGAAAGAAAAAAACCTGACTGAAACAGGGAGGGACTATCTGGACTTGTCCAATAAGAAACACTCAATTTTGTTTTCCGTTGCAAAACATTTTAAAACGTTTTTTTTCTGTTCCATGCCCTAATGAACACAAGCCTGCTCATCACCTCTACTGAAATGACTAAACCCAAAACCCTGCCCCCCCTAAACCCTATTTAACTCTACATTGTAACTGCATCTCCTGCAACTGTCCCCACTTCTGCCCCATATCTACAACAGTTCTCCACCCTTTTTCAAAAAAGTGTGCACTTGCACACTCCCTCCCTGTCATGGATTTCAAAAGCACTGGATTGGTGTAAGTGTTGGATGGAAAGAGTTTCCTTTCCACCATTGTTGAATCCACGCAAGAGACTGTACACTTTGGGAAAAGGGTGGAGATTGGAGAATAATGCCTCCATTCAATTGGTATTGAGCCAAAATATGCAGTAGCGTTTAACGTGAAATGCAGTCTCCGTGAACGCGGGGAACATTGCCTTTACATTTCAATTTGTGCTATAGTGCTGAACTTCGGCGATATGGATTGAATGGAGCCCTTCGTCTCTAGTCAGCCTGGCCTAGCAGGCTGAGGTAGATGGTGGACTGGAGGAAGCGGGGGTAGCAGTCTGTATCCAGGAGGGAGTAGATGCATTTCTGGGCGTGGGACAGGGAGGTGCGTGACGGGGCCTGTAGGAGCTGTGTGGTTAGTTCTCTGGTCTTACTGTCCAAGTTCACCTGAGAGGGAAAGAGAGAGAATATGGGTGAATGAAGTGGTTCCAGATCAGTTAAGAAGACACTGTTTAATAAACACACTTCCAGGTACACTTCCAGGTACACTTCCAGGTCAAAGAAGATAAGAAAGATAACCAGAGCAATATAATAGATAGATGGTAGATGGTAGATGGTAGATATAGATGATAGATGGTAGATGATAGATGGTAGATGGTAGATAATAGATGGTAGATAATAGATGATAATAGATAGATGGTAGATGATAGATGGTAGATGATAGATGATAGATTGTAGATGATAGATGGTAGATATAGATGATAGATGGTAGATGGTAGATGATAGATGATAGATGGTAGATATAGATGATAGATAATATATGGTAGATGATAGATGGTAGATAATAGATGGTAGATAATAGATGGTAGATGATAGATGGTAGATGGTAGATATAGATGATAGATGGTAGATGATAGATGTGTATAGATGGTAGATGATGATGTAGATGGTAGATATAGATGATAGATGTAGATGATAGATGGTGATTAGATGAGTTAGATGGCAGATATAGATGATAGATGGTAGATGGTAGATGATAATAGATAGATGGTAGATGATAGATGGTAGATGGTAGATATAGATGATAGATGATAGATGATAGATGGTAGATGATAGATGGTAGATGCATAGATAGGTAGATGGTAGATGATAGATGTTAGATGTGATAGATGGTAGATGGTAGATATAGATGTGATGTGTATGATGGTGTAGTGAGATGGTAGATGGTGTAGATGTAGATATAGATGGTAGATTAATAGATGATTAGATGATAGGTGATTAGATATAGATGATAGATGGTATGGTAGTGGTAGATGATAGATGGTTATGATGATAGTAGATGTGATAGATGATGATTAGAGTAGATGATAGATAATAGATGGTAGATAATAGATGGTAGATAATAGATGGTAGATAATAGATGGTAGATATAGATGATAGATGATAGATGGTAGATGATAGATGGTAGATGATAGATGATAGATGGTAGATGGTAGATGGTAGATGGTAGATAATAGATGATAGATGGTAGATATAGATGATAGATGGTATATGATAGATGGCACAGTGGTCTAAGGCACTGCATCGCAGTGCTAGCTGTGCCACTAGAGATCCTGGTTCGAATCCAGGCTCTGTCATAGCCGGCCGCGACCGGGAGACCCATGGGGCGGCACACAATTGGCCCAGCGTCGTCCAGGGTAGGGGAGGGAATGGCCGGCAGGGGATGTAGCTCAGTTGGTAGAGCATGGCGTTTGCAACGCCAGGGTTGTGGGTTTGATAAAATAATGTATGTGCTAACTGTAAGTCGCTCTGGATAAGAGCGTCTGCTAAATGACTAAAATGTAATGTAAATGTAGATGGTAGATGATAGATGATAGATGGTAGATGATAGATGATAGATGGTAGATATAGATGGTATTTATAGATGATAGATGGTAGATGGTAGATGATAGATGGTAGATAATAGATGATAGATGGTAGATAATAGATGATAGATGATAGATGGTAGATGGTAGATAATAGATGATAGATATAGATGATAGATGATAGATGGTAGATGGTAGATGGTAGATAGAAAGGCCAGCCGGACCACAGATAGACAGACAGACAGCCGGACAGGCAGGGAGGACCATAGACAGACAATCAGAAACAAGCCAGCCCGGTCAATGTATAGACAAAGTCTGTATACCTCTCGTGGTGCCCCCGCCTCGATATAGGTGACCGTGATCTCCTTGGCCCGTCTGTGCAGGCTGAAGTTGTTGGAGGAGTTTCTGTACTGCTCACAAGCCAGATAGAACTGCAGATTCTCCTCACTAAACTCTGAGCGAAGGAATGCTCCAAACACAGACAAGCCCGCTGGAGAGGGGGGGGGGGGGGTTAGAGAGAGGATGGGGAGAGGGAGGAGGAAGGGGGGAGGGGGGATGAGAGAGGAGTGATGGGGAGAGGGAGGAGGAAGGGGGGATGAGAGAGAGTGATGAGGAGAGGGAGGATGAGAGAGAGTGATGGGGAGAGGGAGGAGGAAGAGAGAGGGGGGATGAGAGAGAGTGATGGGGAGAGGGAGGAGGGAAGGGGGGAGGGGGATGAGAGAGAGTGATGGGGAGAGGGAGGAGGAAGGGGGGAGGGGGGATGGAGAGGAGAGTGATGGGGAGAGGGAGGAGGAAGGGGGGGGGGGGGGATTAGAGAGAGTGATGGGGAGAGGGAGGAGGAAGAGAGAGGGGGGGAAGAGTATTAGGCTTTATAAAAGTACACCACATTTAGGATGTCACTAGAGGGGGAAGATTAGGAAGGGGAGACAGATGGGTTCAAAGACACACTGGCCAATACAGTGACATGCAAACACACACGTACACATACACACACTTACACACCACTGGCCAATACGCTGACATGCAAACACACACGTACACATACACACACGTACACACCACTGGCCAATACAGTGACATGCAAACACACATGTACACACATTTGCACAGATACAGGACATACACACAGACTGTAAAAGTACTAAAATCAATCCTAGGATTTTTTTCCAGTGCATTTTCATTATTGCCATCTAACTTTATTGCTTTCTAAATCAGTCACACCCTCCATACTGTCTCGCTCCCTCCCTCTCCCCCTTCTCTCCCTCTCCCCCTCCCTCCCTCCCTCTCCCCCTTCTCTCCCTTCTCTCCCTCTCCCCCTTCTCTCCCTCTCCCCCTTCTCTCCCTCTCCCCCTTCTCTCTCTCTCTCTCTCTCATACACTTCTGTTTTTTGCTTAGACACTGGGTTGCAACATATGTTTGTGCAAAGAGGCTGACTGGGTGGGGAAAGGAAGGAGGGCAGCAGATAGCGGACACAGTGGTTACAACATTGTGAAACACATTAATACGTATGTACATTTGTATGTGACACACACAAAGAGAACAAGTGTGGACACTGCAGCATATCAACAATACCTTGTAAACAGCCTGTATGTCGTGTTAAAGTTATCCTTGTAAACAGCCTGTATGTGTTCAAGTTGTGCAGACTATCAGACTAAGCTTGGCTACCACAGTCACTGCATGCTTTCCAAAAGCTCTAGCTATTGACCTTTAACTAAGTGTTTGAGCAATGTGTATACACTCCATGTATTCAAGATTGTGTACTCGGATCATGTATCCAGATTATATTAGTTTGTAAATCGAATAATAAAACCGAAACTACCTTCAGTGAGAGAAATGGATCTATATGACATTTAAATCAAATCAAAGCGTTATTTGTCACATACACGTGTTTAGCAGATGTTATTGCGGGTTATAGCGAAATGCTTGTGTTTCTAGCTCCAACAGTGCAGCACGAACCACTGCATTTATCCATGGCAAGGTGATTGGGAATATGGCCGAATACAAACGGTGTAGTTATTCTCTGCGTAAGGCAATCAAACAGGCAAAACGTCAGTATAGTGACAAAGTGGAGTCGCAATCAAACGGCTCAGACACGAGACGTATGTGGCAGGGTCTACAGACAATCACGGACTACAAAAAGAAAACCAGCCACGTCGCCGACACCGACGTCTCACTTCCAGACAAGCTAAACACCTTCTTCGCCCGCTTTGAGGATAACACAGTGCCACTGACGCGGCCCGCTACCAAGGACAGTGGGCTCTCGTCCTCCGTGGCTGACGGGAGTAAGACAGTTAAGCGTGTTAACCCTCGCAAGGCTGCAACATTTGGTTAAAAATATCGTGCAGCCCTACGTGGCAGTGTGGAAATTTATGAGATCAACTTTCGGTTTAATTTTGATTGAACAGTACTAAACAAATCAGAATGGAAAAAAGCCTAATTGAAATCACTTAGAATGTACAGTACCAGTCAAAAGTTTGGACACACCTACTCATTCCCGGGTTTTTCTTTATTTTTTACAATTTTCGACATTGTAGAATAATAGTGAAGACATCAAAACTATGAAATAACACATATGGAATCATGTAGTAACCAAAAAAAGTGTTAAATAAATCAAAATATATTTTATATTTGAGATTCTTCAAATAGCCACCCTTTGCCTTGATGACAGCTTTGCACACTCTTGGAATTCTCTCAACCAGCTTCTTGAGGTAGTCACCTGGAATGTATTTCAATTAACAGGTGTGCCTTCTTAAAAGTTAATTTGTGGAATTTATTTCCTTCTTAATGCGTTTGAGCCAATCAGTTGTGTTGTGACAAGGTAGGAGGGGTATACAGAAGATAGCCCTATTTGGTAAAATACCAAATCCATATTATGGCAAGAACAGCTCAAATAAGCAAACAGAAACGACAGTCCATCATTACTTTAAGACATGAAGGTCAGTCAATACGGAACATTTCAAGAACTTTGAAAGTTTGTTCAAGTGCAGTCGCAAAAACCATCAAGCTCTATGATGAAACTGGCTCTCATGAGGACTGCGACAGGAATGGAAGACCCAGAGTTAACTCTGCTGCAGAGGATAAGTTCATTAGAGTTACCAGCCTCAGAAATTGCAGCCCAAATAAATGCTTCACACAGTTCAAGTAACAGACACATCTCAACATCAACTGTTCAGAGGGGACTGTGTGAATCAGGCCTTCATGGTCGAATTGCTGAAAAGAAACCACTGCTAAAGGACACCAATAAGAAGAAGAGACCTGCTTGGGCCAAGAAACACGAGCAATGGACATTAGACCGGTGGAAATGTGTCCTTTGGTCTGATGAGTCCAAATTGGAGATTTTTGGTTCCAACCGCTGTGTCTTTGTTAGACACGGTGTGGGTGAACGGATGATCTCTGCATATGTATTTCCCACCGTAAAGCATGGAGGAGGAGATGTTATGGTGTGGGGGTGCTTTGCTGGTGACACTGTCTGTGATTTATTTAGAATTCAAGGCACACTTAACCAGCATGGCTACCACAGCTTTCTGCAGCGATACGCCATCACATCTGGTTTGGGCTTATTTATTTTTATTTTTTAATTTTTTATTTCACCTTTATTTAACCAGGTAAACCAGTTGAGAACAAGTTCTCATTTACAACTGCGACCTGGCCAAGATAAAGCAAAGCAGTGCGATAAAAACAACAACACAGAGTTACATATGGGGTAAAACAAAACAAAGTCAAAAAATACAACAGAAATACATATATATACAGTGTGTGCAAATTTAGCAAGTTATGGAGGTAAGGCAATAAAATAGGCTATAGTGCAAAATAATTACAATTAGTATTAACACTGGAATGATAGATGTGCAAGAGATGATGTGCAAATAGAGATACTGGGGTACAAATGATCAAAATAAATAACAATATAGGGATGAGGTAGTTGGGCGAGCTAATTTCAGCTTAGTGGGACTATCATTTGTTTTTCAACAGGACAATGACCCAAAACACCTCCAGGCTGTGTAAGGGCTATTTTACCAAGAAGGAGAGTGATTGAGTGCTGCATTAGATGACCAGGCCTCCACAATCCCCTGACCTCAACCCAATTGAGATAGTTTGGGATGAGTCGGACCGCAGAGTGAAGGAAAAGCAGCCAACAAGTGCTCAGAATATGTGGGAACTCCTTCAAGACTGTTGAAAAAGCATTCCAGGTGAAGCTGGTTGAGAAAATGCCAAGAGTGTGCAAAGCTGTCATCAAGGCAAAGGGTGGCTATTTGAAGATTCTCAAATATAAAATAGATTTTGATTTGTTTAACACTTTTTTGGTTACTACATGATTCCATATGTGTTATTTCATAGTTTAGGTCTTCTCTATTATTCTACAATGTAAAAAATAGTAAAAATAAAGAAAACCCTTGAATGAGTAGGTGTTTCCAAACTTTTGACTGGTAGCGTATGTGTTGCCACCCTAGCTACGGTCATGCACAACTCATAAAGAACATTTAGAACATTTATTATTTAAAAACATAAAATACCGTCAAATCTTTTTTTTTGGGGGGGGCACTGGTCATTTGGAGAAATTACGATTTGGCAGGTGTGCACATGTTTTAAATTGGGGAAGGAGACATTTGGCTCATAGACTTGACCAAAACTTGCAGAGAGAGGGGGGGGTGGAGCTACCTCCCTGCTTCCTCTCCTCATTCCAGTATCTTTTCTCATACCTCTCCCCCCCAGAACCTAATCAAGTAGCTGGCGCCAGAGTTTCCTTCTGGGATGCCGAGATTACCTTTGCCATAACCCTTCCATGTTTGTAGATCTGTACGGTGGAAGCATTATGGTGGAAACTTCACCACGACTCTGATTATACCTGAATAAAGCCCTTCAGATCATCAAACATGGAAGGGTAAGGGCCAAGGAGGAAGGGTAGGGAGTGGTTTGGGACTGGCTGTACTACTCAGTCTGACTATAATACTTGTTTTAGTTTTCCGTCGAAAAAAAAAAAAAAAAACATTTGCTACGGTGTTTAGTAATGAATAGGGCCCTAGTCTACTTATTCCGACTGGCCAGGAGGGTGTCCTAGTCTACTGGCCAGAAGGGTGTCCTAGTCTACTGGCCAGGAGGGTGTCCTAGTCTACCGGCCAGAAGGGTGTCCTAGTCTACTGGCCAGGAGGGTGTCCTAGTCTACTGGCCAGGAGGGTGTCCTAGTCTACTGGCCAGGAGGGTTTCCTAGTCTACTTACTCCGACTAACCAGGAGGGCGTCCAGCGACTCAGCCCACTTATCCAGTTCCTCCCGGCTGAACTTGGCCTTGATGTGGCCCACCTGACTCCATTGGCGAAGGAACAGGAGGCGAGACTGCTGCTCTTTAGCACTGTTAGGGAGGAGAGGAAGGGAGAGAGGGAGAGACAGAGACAGAGACAGAGACAGAGACAGAGACAGAGAGAGAGAGAGAGAGAGAGAGAGAGAGAGACGAAGAGAAAGAGAGAGAGAGAGAGGGGGGGGGTAAGGAGAGAGTGGAGACGGAGAGAGAGAGACAGAGAGAGAGAGAGGTAGAGAGAGAGAGACAGGGAGAGACAGGGAGAGAGAGAGAGTGGTAGAGAGAGAGAGACAGGGATAGAGAGAGAGGGAGAGAGAGACAGGGAGAGAGAGAGACGAAGAGAGAGGAGGGGTAAGGAGAGAGCAGAGACAGGGAAAAAGGGAGATGACAAGTACGTTTTGGTGTGGTTGGATCTGATTTCATGATGACACAACCCTTATTTCGACAACTGGTTGGCTCAGTATCATTACAACCTCAAGGGTGGATGACGTCCAGATGGGTATTCTTTTGTTGTGGCATCCTATCAAACTGAACATTTGGGGTTCTTAGGGTACGTCCCAAATGGCACCCTATTCCTTGTGTTGTGCATTACTTTTGACCAGGGAAATTACATCCTATTCCCTATATAGTGCAGTAATTTTGACAAGAGCCATTTGGGCTACGTAGGGAATCGGGTGGCATTTGGCCTGGGACTCTGCCTTAGACAACATCTTCCTCTTAGAAAGAAACCTCGTCCCCAGGCTATTGCCCACAGCGGAGGAAATGTATGGAGCACAAGATTACTAAAAACAGTTACTGAATACCAATGAAGTGATGAGGATATTTAGGTATATCTGTGTGACATCAGTGTTGACTTTGGATTACCATTGGAATGCAATGCCCAGGCACGTTGATGAGCTTACCGGTCTTTCTGTTTTTTCTGCTCCGGGTCAAACAGGTTGGAGTGTGATGAATGGGGACTCTGGAAATATAGACGCCATTAGTTTACTTCCAAATTTTAAATAATCAGCACACACACTTGCAGGCAGGCAGCACACAAACCTCAGTGGTTTGACTTCTTTGGTTTTAAGCCCAATCGTAATATATCATTTAAGGAAGTTCTGATTGAGCAATATTTTCCTGTCATCGGCGTCATAAAAAAACGGAAACCGCTAAAACATGACCTCTGGGAAAGACGTAGTTGACGTCAATGTGTATGCCAACATATAGGGGAAATAGGAGAGGCACTTGCCACTGTCAAACTTGGTATGCATTGGTTTTGCCATTTGCCATTTAGCAGATACTTTTATCCCGAGGGTAAAAGGATGGATTTTAAGAGTGCTTAATGAATTACACATAATTTCAATCAAATCTAGAATATAATGTGTAATGTTGAGCTAGACTGAATATATTATGATTATTTAATCTTTGATTAACTTGGTGTGACCTTGACTTGAGACAGCCGCTTGATTTATGAATAACACTTTCTGTCAGATGAAGCTCAAGGTTAGAATACTACAGAGGGTTCAGGATACTACAGAGGGTTCAGGATACTACAGAGGGTGGAGGATACTACAGAGGGTGGAGGATACTACAGAGGGTGGAGGATACTACAGAGGGTTCAGGATACTACAGAGGGTGGAGGATACTACAGAGGGTGGAGGATACTACAGAGGGTTCAGGATACTACAGAGGGTGGAGGATACTACAGAGGGTGGAGGATACTACAGAGGGTGGAGGATACTACAGAGGGTGGAGGATACTACAGAGGGTTCAGGATACTACAGAGGGTGGAGGATACTACAGAGGGTGGAGGATACTACAGAGGGTTCAGGATACTACAGGGGGTGGAGGATACTACAGAGGGTGGAGGATACTACAGAGGGTGGAGGATACTACAGAGGGTGGAGGATACTACAGAGGGTTCAGGATACTACAGAGGGTGGAGGATACTACAGAGGGTTCAGGATACTACAGACGGTTCAGGATACTACAGAGGGTTCAGGATACTACAGAGGGTTCAGGATACTACAGAGGGTGGAGGATACTACAGAGGGTTCAGGATACTACAGAGGGTGGAGGATACTACAGAGGGTGCATTTGTTTAGCTCCTCCGGTGCCGTGGGTGGGGTAGATATTTCACCAGACTCGACTGAAATGGTCTAAAATGTGCGAACTCTGCCCACTCAGTGGTAAAGCTAGAACTAATGTAGAACTAATGTAGAACTAATGTAGAACCAATGTAGAACTCATGTAGAACTCATGTAGAACTCATGTAGAACTCATGTAGAACTCATGTAGAACTAATGTAGTCAAAAGCCATTACACACACAGGCTATCCATTCCCATACAGTAGCCTAACACATCCAAAACCAAACACACAGGCAGAGACCACACCTCTAGTGACCCTGACCTCCCACCCCCTGTCCCCTGTCCCCCATCACTCTTTACCTGCCCAAACAGGCTCTTCAGGTGTAGCTTGGCTGTTGACAGCTTGGCTCTGGCGTGGGACCGTTGCTGTGACTTGAAGGAGAAGGGGCTGGAGCCAAAGGTTGAGTACGAGGGAGAGGTCGGAGGCTGGTCGTCCCTGCCCACGCTCTCTGTGCTGCTACCCGAAGTCGCCGGCGCCAACTGCCCGTCACTGTACGCCCTGCATCCTTCACTGAGGTTCACCACTCCCAGATGACCCTTACCCTCTAGCTTCCCCAGTTCAGTGACGTTCTCCACGCTGACGCTGTGCTCCTTGCCCAGCTCCACCCTGGCCCCAGGCTCCAGGATGATGGGGTTGGGGGGGAAAGAGGTGGTCCGCCTATCCAGTTCGTCCTCCTCCAGGTAGGGCGTGTAGGTGCCTGAATCCCCGTCCCGGCTGTGGTAGTTCTGGTCCTTCAGCGCCACCTTCTTCCATGGCAGGAAGTCCATATCCAGTAGGGACCCCTCTGAGCTGAACCGACGCATGATGGCAAAGCCGCCGAATGGAGGGAGACTCAAGGAAGGATGGACGGCTGGATGGAGGGAGTCAAGGAAGGATGGACGGCCGGATGGAGGGAGTCAAGGAAGGAGGGATAGAGGTGCAGGTAGAGAACGAGCGAAGGGAAGCCAAGTGGGTATGGGAAAGGGAAGATGAAAGCGAGAGAGTCTGGAGGAAAGACTGCAGCGAAGAACAGCCTGTAAAAAGAAACAGAGAGAGGGGAGGGGAAAGGAGGAAGATAAAAATTGGACAATCACAGAAAATGGATCAATTCATCAGGGGCAAAGTGTACTGTTCCATATCATTGGTACACTTTTACAGAGTCAAGCTGCTGAGTCAAAACCAGACACTCTGACATGCTCACGAGTCAGCTGCGGTTAGAAACACATGGTTCCGTCCCAAATGGAACCCTATTCCCTAAATAGTGTACTACTTTTGAACAGAGATCATGAGTATGTATGATCAGAAGTGTTCATGTCCACTGCTGTCAAGTCCACGCCACATTTAATGTGAGCTCAAGCTCAAGAGAAAGCTGTGCTTTTTTTCTGATATTCACGTGACATACTGAAAGCACCTATTAGTTTTCAACTGAAATGAAAAGACCTTAACATAAATGTGTTGGCTTTGGCTGCAATAATTAGATGAACTGTAGTCATGCCAGTCTACTGATTTGAGTTCAACAGAATTGTCCTGATTCTACTGATTTGTACCATTGATTTGAGTGAATTTTTCTCCCTGCAACTTGACCCACATCTAAATGACATACAGTATGGTTCCAAAAGATCACCTATGAGGGAGTCAGACTTCATTTGAACAGCAACATGTATTCTCCGTGTTATGTTTTCAACATGCTTGTGTATTAAAGTAATAACACTCATTGTTTATCCTGGGTATGAATAAAATCGTGAACTTGGGCTGCCTATAAGGCGTTACATGGGTGTCAGGTTAGAGCATTGGGACAGTAACCAAAGGTCGCTAGTTCGAATACCCGAGCCGACAAGGTGTGTGTGGGGGGGTGGAATCTGTCGATGTGCCCTGGAGCAAGGCATCTAACCTAATGTACTCCAGGGGTGCTGTACTATGTATGGCTGACACTGCAAAACACAATTTCACTGCACCTATCCAGTGTGTGACATTATAACATCTTGTTGTACATAACTGTTGAGACGGCTGCTGACAATATTAAACAGAAGTCTTATCTCTATCTCAATCCCACCGGAGGAGCCGTTTATTAACTCCTTGTAAACACTCCAGTGTTAACAAAACAAAGAACCGGGGGTAAAATGTATTACCTCGATGTCCTGCGGTTACTCTGCCACCTGTACGTTCATGACTTCGGCTCCAAAGAGTTCTCTGTCCCGGGAAGTATGTCCTCTGTTTGAACCAAATGTGAAGTCTCAATTCGATTTGGCTAGGTTTAGTTGAGCGTCTCACTTGTGATTTCGGAGCATTGCCAGGGGTGTATTCAGTAGAAACCAAACCGAAGCAAATGGACACGAAACGGGGAGGGACCTACCAAAATGTGTCTATTGAGAAACTCTTGTTTTCGTTGCAAAACGTTTTCCGTTTGGAGTAAACGATTTCCATAACAAAACGTTTTGGACTAATGATTTCAACCCTGGCAAGAAGTGGAGTCGTGGACGCCCACACTCTCTCTCTCTCCACCAAGTGCTCTCAATCGTCAACAAGTGACAGGACGCTGCATGTGTTACCGAAATATATGCAAATAAATAACAAGCGGATTGACACACGAACGAAATTACTAGCACCGAGAACGTTTCTCTATCTCAAACTTCACTCAGACCTGTTATTTGTAATTATTTCACACTTGCATGAACCAGAAACGCCTCTTGTCTGTGTCGCCACCCACAACTCCGTCTCAGCTTGCTGTTGTCACTTGGAGCTCCCTTTGCAGTACAATATTCATTAGCATAATTGTAGGTGTGTCATGGAAAAAACGCAACAACCAATTTTGGAACAACTCCCTGGGGTAGGCTTACTATGAATGGAATCACTAGCTATGTTTCCGTTAACTTGTCCAGTGATTTTTTTTGTCGACATTTAAGAAAGTTCGCATAGAAAATTAATGCAACAATTGCCTGCTAGGGTACGTATCCATTAAAAGCTGCAAGTGTACCTTTTTGGGAAACCTGGCCAAATTCACATGTGTGTTATAGATCTGTCATTCTCACTGAAATCAAATCTAAGAAGTGGTATGTAGATATGTTCTATGTGCGCTATTTCTATGCTTCCTGTTCTTAAGTTTCATTTTAGGGTATTTTAGCTTCAAACAACATAAAATACAATATTTTTGGTTATGGAAAATATATTTCACAGTGGTTTAGATGGTACAATGACTATCTACACTATACTTGCTTTTTTTTGTCACATAAACTGAAATTAATCAAACTATTCGAATTTTAGAAACCAGGAATTAAAGATGCAGTATGCAGAAATCGCTCCGCCATTTCCTGGTTGCTAAAATTCTAATAGTTCGCCTAATTCCAGTTTATGTGGCAAAACAAGCAGTCATTGTGTAAATAATCATTGTACCATTTAAACCGCTGTGAAATATATTTTCCATAACCAAAAATATTGTATTTTCAGCTGTTTGAAGCTGGTGTACAAAACCGAAAGTAAAAGACTCTAAAACGAAACAGAACAGATCTGCCGCTTCTTAGACTTGCTTTCAACGACTATGACAGATCTATGATACACATTTCTATGTGAATTTGGTTGCGTCTCCCAAAAACGTACACATTGTAGCTTTAACTATCTTGTGTCGAATAAAACCAGCTGGGCGTAATGACATTGCACCTAAAAAAAAAAAGCCATCATGTATCTTTGTTAAAATGATTTGTGATACAAGATTCATAAATGTATGTAAAACTCATAAGATGTGTGTGAGGGAGAGAGGACAAGGACACGCCGTGTGTTATAGAGGTCACTGGTGAGGGCCAGAAGGTCTGCGTGCCCAAGATAGATTGGGGACCACTTGTGATAATCTTAGAAGGAGTACGTGAGGGAATGGCCTGGCCAGGGTGACACAATACCAAGTATGGGGATGCTATTGTGGTAGATGAGTGACACTCAATGATGGTTGGCAGATAATATCAAGAAGTAGCTCGGAGAGCATTATATAAAACAGAGAGATTTTGTATGGAAGTCATTCATATGACAAGAGGCCATGCACGTACCGCCTGTCATTGAATCCATTATTGTAACCATTAGATAATGACTGAATCAAATCTCCATATGAGTGTCGACTATTCTCTTGCATCATGAATGTCTCGATACCAGAAACTCATCATAACAAGCTTATACAGTGCAATAAACTATAGAGTGAGGGAAAAAAAGTATTTGATCCCCTGCTGATTTTGTACGTTTGCCCACTGACAAAGAAATGATCAGTCTATAATTTTAATGGTAGGTTTATTTGAACAGTGAGAGACAGAATAACAACAACAAAAATCCAGAAAACCGCATGTCAAAAATGTTATAAATTGATTTGCATTTGAATGAGGGAAATAAGTATTTGACCCTCTTTCTATCAGAAAGATTTCTGGCTCCCAGGTGTCTTTTATACAGGTAACGAGCTGAGATTAGGAGCACACTCTTAAAGGGAGTGCTCCTAACCTCAGCTTGTTACCTGTATAAAAGACACCTATCCACAGAAGCAATCAATCAGTCAGATTCCAAACTCTCCACCATGACCAAGACCAAAGAGCTCTCCAAGGATGTCAGGGACAAGATTGTAGACCTACAAAAGGCTGGAATGGGCTACAAGACCATCGCCAAGCAGCTTGGTGAGAAGGTGACAACAGTTGGTGAGATTATTCGCAAATGGAAGAAACACAAAATAACTGTCAATCTCCCTTGGCCTGGGGCTCCATGCAAGATCTCACCTCGTGGAGTTGCAATGATCATGAGAACGGTGAGGAATCAGCCCAGAACTACACGGGAGGATCTTGTCAATGATCTCAAGGCAGCTGGGACCATAGTCACCAAGAAAACAACACACTACGCCGTGAAGGACTGAAATCCTACAGCGCCCACAACGTCCCCCTGCTCAAGAAAGCACATATACAGGCCCTTCTGAAGTTTGCCAATGAACATCTGAATGATTCAGAGGAGAACTGGGTGTAAGTGTTGTGGTCAGATGAGACCAAAGACTTTGGCATCAACTCAACTCGCCGTGTTTGGAGGAGGAGGAATGCTGCCTATGACCTCACGAACACCATCCCCACCGTCAAACATGGAGGTGGAAACATTGTGCTTTGGGGGTGTTTTTCTGCTAAGGGGACAGGACAACTTCACAGCATCAAAGGGACGATGGACGGGGCCATGTACCGTCAAATCTTGGTTGAGAACCTCCTTCCCTCAGCCAGGGCATTGAAAATGGGTCGTGGATAGGTATTCCAGCATGACAATGACCCAAAACACACGGCCAAGGCAACAAAGGAGTGGCTCAAGAAGAAGCACATTAAGGTCCTGTAGTGGCCTAGCCAGTCTCCAGACCTTAATCCCATAGAAAATCTGTGGAGGGACCTGATGGTTCGAGTTGCCAAACGTCAGCCTCGAAACCTTAATGACTTGGAGAAGATCTGCAAAGAGGAGTGGGACAAAATCCCTCCTGAGATGTGTGCAAACCTGGTGGCCAACTACAAGAAACGTCTGACCTCTGTGATTGCCAACAAGGGTTTTGCCAGCAAGTACTAAGTCATGTTTTGCAGAGGGGCCAAATACTTATTTCCCTCATTAAAACGCAAATCAATTTATAAAATTTTTGACATGCGTTTTTCTGGATTTTTTTGTTGTTGTTATTCTGTCTCTCACTGTTCAAATAAACCTATCATTAAAATTATAGACTGATCATGTCTTTGTCAGTGAGCAAACGTACAAAATCAGCAGGGGATCAAATACTTTTTTTCCCTCACTGTATTAGTCTAATAATTGTCATGTGTCAACTTATAGCTGTGCAACAGTCCGTGCCATGATGAAACCCGTACTCCTGTAGATCTGAAATAACTGGATGGTGAAACTTGCCAGCCAACCTGAAAACGAAGGCGAAGCCATTCAGGCATTTTTGAAAGTCAGGACAATCCTTCGCAAAGAAACATAATTTCTATTGTTGAAAATATACTTTTGGCAAGCAGTAGGCATTTGGAATTAAATGTGGAGTGGAGCTTTATACAGTGGGGGAAAAAAAGTATTTAGTCAGCCACCAATTGTGCAAGTTCTCCCACATAAAAAGATGAGAGAGGCCTGTAATTTTCATCATAGGTACACGTCAACTATGACAGACAAAATGAGATTTTCTTTCTCCAGAAAATCACATTGTAGGATTTTTTATGAATTTATTTGCAAATTATGGTGGAAAATAAGTATTTGGTCAATAACAAAAGTTTCTCAATACTTTGTTATATACCCTTTGTTGGCAATGACACAGGTCAAACGTTTTCTGTTAGTCTTCACAAGGTTTTCACACATTGTTGCTGTTATTTTGGCACATTCCTCCATGCAGATCTCCTCTAGAGCAGTGATGTTTTGGGGCTGTCACTGGGCAACACAGACTTTCAACTCCCTCCAAAGATTTTCTATGGGGTTGAGATCTGGAGACTGGCTAGGCCACTCCAGGACCTTGAAATGCTTCTTACGAAGCCACTCCTTCGTTGCCCGGGCAGTGTGTTTGGGATCATTGTCATGCTGAAAGACCCAGCCACGTTTCATCTTCAATGCCCTTGCTGATGGAAGGAGGTTTTCACTCAAAATCTCACGATACATGGCCCCATTCATTCTTTCCTTTACACGGATCAGTCGTCCTGGTCCCTTTGCAGAAAAACAGCCCCAAAGCATGATGTTTCCACCCCCATGCTTCACAGTAGGTATGGTGTTCTTTGGATGCAACTCAGCATTCTTTGTCCTCCAAACATGACGAGTTGAGTTTTTACCAAAAAGTTATATTTTGGTTTCATCTGACCATATGACATTCTCCCAATCCTCTTCTGGATCATCCAAATGCACTCCAGCAAACTTCAGACGGGCCTGGACATGTACTGGCTTAAGCAGGGGGACACGTCTTGCACTGCAGGATTTGAGTCCCTGGCGGCGTAGTGTGTTACTGATGGTAGGCTTTGTTACTTTGGTCCCAGCTCTCTGCAGGTCATTCACTAGGTCCCCCCGTGTGGTTCTGGGATTTTTGCTCACCTTTCTTGTGATCATTTTGACCCCACGGGGTGAGATCTTGCGTGGAGCCCCAGATCGAGGGAGATTATCAGTGGTCTTGTATGTTTTCCATTTCCTAATAATTGCTCCCACAGTTGATTTCTTCAAACCAAGCTGCTTACCTATTGCAGATTCAGTCTTCCCAGCCTGGTGCAGGCCTACAATTTTGTTTCTGGTGTCCTTTGACAGCTCTTTGGTCTTGGCCATAGTGGAGTTTGGAGTGTGACTGTTTGAGGTTGTGGACAGGTGTCTTTTATACTGATAACAAGTTCAAACAGGTGCCATTAATACAGGTAACGAGTGGAGGACAGAGGAGCCTATTAACGAAGAAGTTACAGGTCTGTGAGAGCCAGAAATCTTGCTTGTTTGTAGGTGACCAAATACTTATTTTCCACCATATAATTTGCAAATAAATTCATAAAAATTCCTACAATGTGATTTTCTGGATTTTTTCTCCTCAATTTGTCTGTCATAGTTGACGTGTACCTATGATGAAAATTACAGGCCTCTCTCATCTTTTTAAGTGGGAGAACTTGCACAATTGGTGGCTGACTAAATACTTTTTCCCCCCACTGTAGTTACGCGGTGACATCACGTGCCCTTCAAAATGATTCGGCAATCATCATTTGTCGCAATAAGGAAAGTTAGACACAAATAAAAAGACACCCCTGACAAACAGATAAAATGTTGATCTTTAGAAAATGTCTCCTGTGTCTGCCGTTTTTTCTTTACACATGTCGCAGTAATTTTTTTCTTTACAAAATGTGCTTTTGTCTAAATAAACCAATGGTCAATGAAAACCTTCCTACTGAAGGGAGGGAACTTTTCTGAGGCTGCCTGAGCTATTTTAAAGGGGAACCGCACCCACTGATTCGGCCTCGGTTTTTGGCTAGCTCCTTAAGAAATGCTGGCGGGCGGCCATGACAGTAGTCAAACGTGAGTTGACTTGGGGCTGTTGTTTGATGTGGGTGTTTCTTGGGTGTTATAACGAGTTTTGATAAAGGATTCATTAATTGGGCTCCCGAGTGGCGCAGCGGTCTAAGGCACTCAGTGCTTGAGACGTCACTACAGACCCCCTGGTTTGATTCCAGGCTGTATCACAACCGGCCGTGATTGGGAGTCCCATAGGGTGGCGCACAATTGGCCCAGCGTCGTCCGGGTTTGGCCGGGGTAGGCCGTCATTGTAAATAAGAAGTTGTTCTTAACTGACTTGCCTAGTTAAATAAAGGTTAAATAAAAAAATTAAAAATGTGTGTAAACTCCTAGGCTGTAGGAGGGACAGAGGACAAGGACACACCATGTGTTAGTGGTGTCACGAGTGAGTAACAGAAGGTCAGTGTGCCAAGATAGATTGGGGGGGCCACTGTTGCTAATCTTAGGATGGGCGCGTGATGGAATGGCCTGGCTAGGGTGCCACACGACACCATGGAGGTGGATGAGTGACACTTAATAATGGTTAGCAACTGTGCAAGATAAAAGTAGATTGGAAGGGCATTATATGAGCTCAGAGATTTGGTATGGAAGTCAGTCATATGACAAGAGGCAAAGCACGTTCATCTTGTTATATGATCCAGTACTGAAATAAATGTAAATCAAACTTCCAGCTGAGTGTCGATTGATCTCTTGCATCCTGAACTTCTCAATACCAGAAACTCATCATAACATTGGGTGTGTCCTTGCCACCACTAAGATGTCAGATGTCGCCTTGCCGTATGTTTGCACTCTGTACTACAGCCCCTTGAAGTCTGTCCTGGAGGTCTGTCCTGGAGATCTGTCCTGGAGGTCTGTCCTGGAGGTCTGTCCTGAAGTCTGCATCGTTATGCTTGCCTTGTTGTAATTCCAGAGAGCAAACTTGTAGTAGCAACACGACATCTGCAAAGTCAGTGGCCCACTTCGCATTTTGCTAAATATTTTTCTAGCTGGGTAGGCATGTAACTTAATGCAAGTATATTAGCTGAATTTCTAATTATAAAAGTTATTAGCATTTGTCAATAACGTTGTCATGTTAATATCATAACATTTCTGATAAAGTTCAGAACATTTAGGCTAAAGGTTATTACATTTAGTTTGTCTGTCACTGTCTCTCCACCCCAGTGAGGATCGGGATCTGGTCTCCAGAGCCACCCAGAGTTTCTGCCAGAAGACCCCGGTGTGCTCCCCCAGTGAGGATGGGGATCTGGTCTCCAGAGCCACCCAGAGTTTCTGCCAGAAGACCCCGGTGTGCTCCCCCAGTGAGGATGGGGATCTGGTCTCCAGAGCCACCCAGAGTTTCTGCCAGAAGACCCCGGTGTGCTCCCCCAGTGAGGATGGGGATCTGGTCTCCAGAGCCACCCAGAGTTTCTGCCAGAAGACCCCGGTGTGCTCCCCCAGTGAGGATGGGGATCTGGTCTCCAGAGCCACCCAGAGTTTCTGCCAGAAGACCCCGGTGTGCTCCCCCAGTGAGGATGGGGATCTGGTCTCCAGAGCCACCCAGAGTTTCTGCCAGAAGACCCCGGTGTGCTCCCCAGCTCTGGGCCAGCTCAGGTAGGTCTGTCTCTTCAGCAGCCTCCTCATGTGGTGGTAGGAAGATAGCTGCTGCTCTGGGATCTCCTCCAGAAACACCAGGACCAACACGTCCTTCTGCTCGTCAAACAGAGTAGAGTAGAAAGTCTTTATGAAGTATACAGTATATGTGTCTTGGATTGTAAATATGTAGGTGTGTAGATGTGTATGTATGTAGGTGTGTAGATGTGAAAGTATGTAGGTGTGTAGATGTGTAGGTGTGTAGATGTGTAGGTGTGTAGATGTGTAGGTGTGTAGATGTGAAGGTGTGTAGGTGTGTAGATGTGTAGGTGTGTAGGTGTGTAGATGTGTAGGTGTGTAGGTGTGTAGATGTGTAGGTGTGTAGATGTGTAGGTATGTAGGTGTGTAGATGTGTAGGTGTGTAGGTGTGTAGGTGTGTAGATGTGAAGGTATATAGGTGTGTAAAGGTATAGATATGTAGGTGTGTAGGTGTGTAGATGTGTAGGTATGTAGGTGTGTAGATGTGTAGGTGTGTAGGTGTGTAGGTGTGTAGATGTGTAGGTATGTAGGTGTGTAGATGTGTAGGTGTGTAGATGTGAAGGTATATAGGTGTGTAGATGTGTAGGTATGTAGGTGTGTAGGTGTGTAGATGTGAAGGTATGTAAGTATGTAGATGTGAAGGTATGTAGGTGTGTAGATGTGTTGATATGTAGGTGTGTATGTGTGTAGGTATGTAGGTGTGTAGGTATGTAGGTGTGTAGATGTGGTAGGTGTGTAGGTGCATATAGGTAATTGAAGATTGTTAGACCCACCTGGTCACCTGTATCTCTCTGGAGCACCACTCACTCTCCAGATAGCGAGAGAGAGAGAGTACCACTCACTTTCCAGATAGCGAGAGAGAGAGAGCACCACTCACTCTCCAGATAGCGAGAGAGACAGTACCACTCACTCTCCAGATAGCGAGAGAGAGAGTACCACTCACTCTCCAGATAGCGAGAGAGAGAGCACCACTCACTCTCCAGATAGCGAGAGAGAGAGAGAGAGAGAGCACCACTCACTCTCCAGATAGCGAGAGAGAGAGAGCACCACTCACTCTCCAGATAGCGAGAGAGAGAGAGCACCACTCACTCTCCAGATAGCAATGGCTGATGGCCCTGCGGCTCCTGTAGATGGCGTCTGTGATGTTTTCTATGGTAGGTTTGCCTGGCTGGAAGTCCCGGTGGTGCAGACACAGCGTCCAGCCGTGCTGCCCCTCCAGCTATGGCAGCAGCTCTCTCAGGACCCAGGGAAGCTCCCTCAGGACCCAGGGCAGCTCCCTCAGGACCCAGGGAAGCTCCCTCAGGACCCAGGGCAGCTCTCTCAGGACCCAGGGAAGCTCCCTCAGGACCCAGGGCAGCTCTCTCAGGACCCAGGGAAGCTCCCTCAGGACCCAGGGCAGCTCCCTCAGGACCCAGGGCAGCTCCCTCAGGACCCAGGGCAGCTCCCTCAGGACCCAGGGCAGCTCCCTCAGGACCCAGGGAAGCTCCCTCAGGACCCAGGGCAGCTCCCTCAGGACCCAGGGCAGCTCCCTCAGGACCCAGGGAAGCTCCCTCAGGACCCAGGGAAGCTCCCTCAGGACCCAGGGCAGCTCCCTCAGGACCCAGGGAAGCTCTCTCAGGACCCAGGGCAGCTCCCTCAGGACCCAGGGAAGCTCCCTCAGGACCCAGGGCAGCTCCCTCAGGACCCAGGGCAGCTCCCTCAGGACCCAGGGCAGCTCCCTCAGGACCCAGGGCAGCTCCCTCAGGACCCAGGGAAGCTCCCTCAGGACCCAGGGCAGCTCCCTCAGGACCCAGGGCTCATCCAGGGTGTTTTAGGAGATGAAGACGTCCTACTGATTAGCTGCACGCCTGTTCCTCCACTTGGGGTCGTAGAGATAAGCCAGGAAGAGGTAGCAGGCATAGAAAACTTGCCATCTCAGAAGATGGTAGATGAAGGACCCCAGCAGGGTTGGGAGGACCATTGAAGCGGTGGAGAGGAAGTAGAAGAAGCCTACGTCTGCCGAACAGGTGTGGGTGTCAAGGTCCAACAGGATAGATTGAGCGGATATTTGCAGAGAGTCAACAACTTGTGTTAGGCTGTCATTCATCACCCACTGGATGAACCAAGCATTGCTGCAGTCACAACTGAAATAGTTATTATTCATGTCCGTGTAATAATATAATATGCCAGTTAGCAGACGCTTTTATCCAAAGCGACTTACAGTCGTGCGTGCATACATTTTTGTGTATGGGTGGTCCCGGGGATCGAACCCACTACCTTGGCGTTACAAGCGCCGTGCTCTACCAGCTGAGCTACAGAGGACCACGTAAGTCAGAGAAGGAATGCATCACTGTCTCATTAATGGCTGTAAATTAATTTTTTTCTTACCTGCAAGTCATTGACTTGAAACAGGTTGGCTCATATAAGGACATCTAGATTTTTAAATGTTGACAGATAGATTGGCCTGAGTTTGGGATTGGGTGAAACAGCTCTGGAGTGAGGGTTGTAGTTATAATGTTGCTAATGTCAAGTTACCTCCACCATGGTGTGTATATGAATGTGTCCGGGTGCAGATACTCAATATTAAATATTCCCTGCCCTGATTGTTAAAGATTTCAAACAGTCAAGAAAGTTTGACGGTAGATTATGCATTCCTTCTGGACGCTGGCTGAAGAGATCCAGATATTTGAGAGATGACAAGTTAGAGAGGGGGGGGAGGGGTTCAGCTTACTATCATTTTCATATGTGATACGGTTGGAATTAATATACATGGTTCTTAATCGTGTTAGTCCTCCAAAGACTTGATCTCTAATTGCTCCTGAAGGCATTTTATTTGCAGCCGGAGTGAGGGGTTATAAGGTTGACCAATCCCTCAAAGGCCCCATTTTCCAATTTGATTGTCAATTAAAGCCAAATTGTTGAGTGATTTAAAAAACTTTTCAAGTCTTCTTTATTGATGGAGCTTAGCTTATTTCCATTCAACTGCAAGGTCTCTAGTTTTTTGCAAATCATTCTTGAAAGCATAATTCAAGGTCAGGATGCGATTTCCTCTTTAAGGCCTTCAAAATCCTGGAAGACACATCTTATTGTGTTAAAGAACGAGTTGTATGGGTCCTGTAAGATTGGCAAAATCTGAGCAATCCAGAGTATTGATGTTATTGAAGCTGAGATCTAAGATATTTAGACTGGGGGAGATTCTCATCATCATTCCATTAGTTTTGTCTTGCCCCTTGTCCTTGTGGGTGATTGTTTAATGTGAGGAGAGAGTAGCTCGGTTGAGCTCCGTGTATTTTGTATTGCCGGGGTATATTTTCCCCGTGTGCCTGTTTGGTTCCAGTGCGCCTGTTTTGCGCACTGGACTGTTTGACGCTATCCTGCGTAACTCTGTATTCCGGAATAAATCCTGTTATTCTGTGATTTACCCTCCTGCGCCTGACTCCTTCAAATCACCCATCACAACTGAGATGGTGGTGAGTAGGTTATAACTCAGGTCCAGTCCCTGCAGGGTTCACAAGGTGCAGGAAAGCTCTGTCTTCAACGTGAGAGATCACATTAGAGGACAGGTTCAAGAATGTGACGACTGATACATCTTTGAAATCAAACTGTTCGATCTTTGAAATGTTATTTATAGAAATGTCTAAAGATCTCTCCATTTTTTGGAATGTCCTCTGGTATGGTTTGGAGGTTCCTTTTGTCTGCAGAGTACATTCATCTTAATAGTTCTGCAGTGTTCCCCCCCCCCCCCCCCCACTTTAAGTGGCTAGTGTACAACACACATTGGAGCCTGGTGAGGTTGCCCCCCCCCCACTCCTCAGTAAAAGGAACATGACAGTCCGCTTGGAGTTTGCCAAAAGGCACCTAAAGACTCTCAGACCATGAGAAAGATTCTCTGGTCTGAAGAAACCAAGACTGAACTCTTTGGCCTGAATGCCAAGCATCAAGTCTGGAGGAAACCTGGCACCATCCCTACAGTGAAGCATGGTGGTGGCAGTATCATGCTGTGGGGATGTTTTTCTGTGGTAGGGACTGGGAGACTAGTCCAGATCGATGCAAAAATGAACGGAGCAAAGTACAGAGAGATCCTTGATGAAAACCTGCTCCAGAGCGCTCACGACCTCAGACTGGGGCGAAGGTTCACCTTCCAACAGGACAACGACCCTAAGCACACAGCCAAGACAACGCAGTAGTGGCTTCGGGACAAGTCTCTGAATGTCCTTGAATGGCCCAGCCAGAGCCCGGACTTGAACCCGATCGAACATCTCTGGAGAGACCTGAAAATAGCTGTGCAGCGACGCTCCCCATACAACCTCGCAGAGCTTGAGAGGATCTGCAGAGAAGAATGGGAGAAACTCCCCAAATACAGGTGTGCCAACCTTGTAGCGTCATACCCAAGAAGACTCGATGCTGTAATCGCTGCCAAAGTTGCTTCAACAAAGTACTGTGTAAAGTGTCTGAATACTTATGTAAATGTGATATTTCAGTTTTTTATTTTTAATAAATTAGCAAACATTTCTAAAAACCTGTTTTTTGCTTTGTTATTATGGGGTATTGTGTGTAGATTAATGAGGGAAAAAAAGGTTAATCTATTTTAGAATAAGGCTTTAACGTAACAAAATGTGGAAAACGTAAAGGTGTCTGAATACTGTCCAATGGCACTGTGTAGGGAATAGGGTGATATTTGGGACTGAGAGAGATGACTCATCCCCCCCCCCCCAGTCTTTAGTCAGTAGTACATCAGTAATTAAACTCCAGGTAGAGTTTGCAGATCAGTAGTTTATACAGCAGACACATATACTATACGACGCCTTCTATTCACGCCCACTCCACATTATGATAGTTTGAAATGTCTTCATGACATGTGAACACAATAGCCTTCAGCTGGTTCCTCCTCTCCTTTCCTCCAAACAGCAACACTGACATTAAAGAATTGGACAGCTTTAAGCAAATTCCCAGTACGCCTTCCCCTATATTGCTTTTACCTGTCCACGTGTTCACATCAGTGCAGCAGAAGGACAGGGGACAAGGAGAGGAAGTCGCTGTACACAACTAACATGCATCCTATGATCAGAGGTGATTAGACGAATACACATAAACAATGTGACCTGCTGAAACGGTGGCCGTTAAAAGTGCTAATCTCTCTCACCTCAGTTCACTGCTCACTACTGTCTATAGTCTGTTAATGGTTAATGGTCATTGGTGGACAATAATAGCTTGGAATAAATGGACCAATTAGAGAGGAGGTTGTTTGTTCTGGGTGTGAAAATAGAACACATACAGGTTGCCTGGCGACCAAGAGTGCTAGTAATTGTAGAGAGGTAACGGGTGTGATGTTCAATGGGGGCAGATGTGTGTACGCACATGAGCAAACACACCCGCTATAATCATGTGATAATACAGTATATTCATGTATAAATTGTACGTATAAAATTCTGCACAGATTGTTTTACCCTCTTGGGAGATAAAGTGTTATTGAGTAAAACTGGCCTTCCTAAGTGTTGTAAAATGACATGAGAAAAGTCAATTTCCTGCAGTGGCTGTACAGTGAGGGAAAAAAGTATTTGATCCCCTGCTGATTTTGTACGTTTGTCCACTGACAAAGACATGATCAGTCTATAATTTTAATGGCAGGTTTATTTGAACAGTGAGAGACAGAATAACAACAACAAAAATCCAGAAAAACGCATGTCAAAAATGTTATAAATTGATTTGCATTTTAATGAGGGAAATAAGTATTTGGCCCCTCTGCAAAACATGACTTAGTACTTGGTGGCAAAACCCTTGTTGGCAATCACAGAGGTCAAACGTTTATTGTAGTTGGCCACCAGGTTTGCACACATCTCAGGAGGGATTTTGTCCCACTCCTCTTTGCAGATCTTCTCCAAGTCATTAAGGCTTCGAGGCTGACATTTGGCAACTCGAACCTTCAGCTCCCTCCACAGATTTTCTATGGGATTAAGGTCTGGAGACTGGCTAGGCCACTCCAGGACCTTAATGTGCTTCTTCTTGAGCCACTCATTTGTTGCCTTGGCCGTGTGTTTTGGGTCATTGTCATGCTGGAATACCCATCCACAACCCATTTTCAATGCCCTGGCTGAGGGAAGAGGTTTTCACCCAAGATTTGACGGTACATGGCACCGTCCATCGTCCCTTTGATGCGGTGAAGTTGTCCTGTCCCCTTAGCAGAAAAACACCCCCAAAGCATAATGTTTCCACCTCCATGTTTGACGGTGGGGATGGTGTTCTTGGGGTCATAGGCAGCATTCCTCCTCCTCCAAACACGGCGAGTTGAGTTGATGCCAAAGAGCTCCATTTTGGTCTCATCTGACCACAACACTTTCACCCAGTTCTCCTCTGAATCATTCAAATGTTCATTGGCAAACTTCAGATGGGCATGTATATGTGCTTTCTTGAGCAGGGGGACCTTGCGGGTGCTGCAAGATTTCAGTCCTTCACGGCGTAGTGTGTTACCAATTGTTTTCTTGGTGACTATGGTCCCAGCTGCCTTGAGATCATTGACAAGATCCTCCCGTGTAGTTCTGGGCTGATTCCTCACCGTTCTCAGGATCATTGCAACTCCACGAGGTGAGATCTTGCATGTAGCCCCAGGCCGAGGGAGATTGACAGTTCTTTTGTGTTTCTTCCATTTGCGAATAATCGCACCAACTGTTGTCACCTTCTCACCAAACTGCTTGGCGGTGGTCTTGTAGCCCATTCCAGCCTTGTGTAGGTCTACAATCTTGTCCCTGACATCCTTGGAGAGGTCTTTGGTCTTGGCCATGGTGGAGAGTTTGGAATCTGATTGATTGATTGCTTCTGTGGACAGGTGTCTTTTATACAGGTAACAAGCTGAGATTATGAGCACTCCCTTTAAGAGTGTGCTCCTAATCTCAGCTCGTTACCTGTATAAAAGACACCTGGGAGCCAGAAATCTTTCTGATTGAGAGGGGGTCAAATACTTATTTCCCTCATTAAAATGCAAATCAATTTATAACATTTTTGACATGCGTATTTCTGGATTTTTTTGTTGTTATTCTGTCTCTCTCTCTGGTCACCCCATGGGGAATCTCTTCCCGATGGCTGGGCCCTTCCACTTGGACAGGGTGGCAGGCACCTTCCCCTCCCCTGCTCCAGGTGCCTTCGTAACAGCCTCCCCCATCTCCCTGTCCTCCTCCCTGTGCCCCCCCCCCCCGTCCCTCCCTTCCTTCCACACTCCACCCCTCCCTTCTTCTCCCTCTCCCTCTCCCTCTCCCTCTGATATAGCCTCTCTTTCCATCGGCTCCTGGAGAAGGAGGCCCCGCCACAGTCAGACCTGACCCCAGGCAGGTGAGGCTGATCCCGGCCGTCACACAGTGGTGCAGCCCCCCTGTTGAAGCTGACAGCCTGGGTGTCTATGAAGAGGAGGTCCCCCTCCCCGAAGGACTCGATCCTGGTGGGGCCAGACTGACCAGACCACAGGTCACCATCAGGAGACCACGGGTCAGAGAGACTTGAGAGAGAGGGAAAGAAAGAGGGGGAGAGATGAGAGAGAGAAAGAAAGGGGGGAGAGAGCGAGAGGGAGAGAGAGGGGGGGGGGGGGTGAGAGGGTAGGAACAGAGAAAGAGAGGGTAGAGAGAGAGCGAGAGAGAGAGAGTGAGGGTAGAGACAGAGGTAGAGAAAGAGAGGGTAGAGAGAGAGCGAGAGAGAGAGAGTGAGGGTAGAGACAGAGGTAGAGAAAGAGAGGGTAGAGAGAGAGCGAGAGAGAGAGAGAGAGTGAGGGTAGAGACAGAGGTAAATAAAGAGAGAGAGGGTAGAGACAGAGGTAGAGAGAGAGAATAGAGGGTAGAGAGAGAGAGTGAGAGAGAAAGAGAAAGAGAGAGAGTGCGAGAGAGGGAGGGAGAGAGGGAGGGAGGGAGGAGGGGAGTTGAGAGACATATAAATACACTGTACAAAAATATAAACTCAAAAGGCAACAATTTCAACGATTTCACTGAGTTACAGTTCATATAAGGAAATGAGTCAATTGAAATAAAATCATTTTCAGCTTCCAGGAATTGTGTACAGATCCTTGCGACATGGGGCTGTGCATTATCATACTGAAACATGAGGTGATGGCATGGATGAATTGCACGTCAATGGGCCTCAGGATCTCATCACGGTATCTCTGTGCATTAAAATTGGCATCGATAAAATGCAATTGTGTTCGTTGTCCGTAGCTTATGCCTGCCCATACCATAACCCCACCGCCACCATGGGGCACTCTGTTCACAATGTTGACATCAGCAAACCGCTCGCCCACATGACGCCGGTACAGTTGAAACCAAGATTAATCCGTGAAGAGAACACGTCTCCAGTGTGTCAGTACCTTTCGAAGGTGAGCATTTGTCCACTGAAGTCAGTTACGACGCCGAACTGCAGTCAGGTCAAGACCCTGGTGAGGACGACGAGCACGCAGATGAACTTCCCTGAGATGGTTTCTGACGGTTTGTGCAGAATTTTTTTCGGTTGTGCAAACCCACAGTTTGATCAGCTGTCCGGGTGCCTGGTCTCAGACAATCCCACAGGTGAAGAAGCCGGATGTGGAGGTCCTGGGCTGGTGCGGTTACACATGGTCTGCGGTTGTGAGGCCGTTTGGACGTACTGCCAAATTCTCTAAAACGACGTTCGAGGCAGCTTA